TACTGCTACTGCTAATGCTACGACGACGACGACGACGACTACTTCTTGTAGTAGTGGTACTACGGCTCGTATTTTGAGTAAGAGGAGGAGGACTCGTAGACAGTGGGAGCGGCCGTTCATTGTGTCTAGATTAGGTCTAGGCCCGAACAGCAGACATGCGGGGGACTGCGTCTGCAGCGACTGCTTTAAGCCGTTATCTCCAAGTGCTCTCATCTTGAATTCCTTCTTAAACTGCATGCGCCTCCAACCCCATTGCATTGAACAGATGTTTACAACACACGAGCCAGAACCGACCTCAGACCCGTGTTGTCCGAGACTGGGTTCTATGAATTTTTGCCTTCAGAACCAGGTCCCCCGCAGGTTCAGGACTTCAGATTTCATGGGCAGTATCATTGCAATTGCTAAACATCCCGAGCCCTATAGTACACCCAAATCCTTTAGCCCAGCATCTCCGGCCCTGTGAAGGAGGCCATCAGCTCATGGCGAGTCGGGGGAGGGCAGGTAAACTCCGACTTGCAAACGTTGCAGGTCTGGTGCCTGGGCGAGGGTTAGTTATCGTCAGGGATTCGCAGCAGTCGTGGGTTCAGGCTGTCGGATGTAAGGTGCAGAGTCTAGACTTCTGCATGGTTTAGCCTTAGGCATCATCGGTCTGTTGCTTGTCGTAGAACACTCAGGTGCTAGGTGCTAGGTATGCTTGACAGGCAGCCTTCTGCATTTTTTAAACGGCAGCTTTTGGTGTCGAGGTTTGAGTAAGACTCTGAATAAGGCTGTAATTGCTAAACAGGCACTGCAGAGGAACAGGATCAACATCGCGTGAACACCTCGGCTTCGCCGGTAGGCCTGTTCTAGAATACCTGATTTCAAGCTTCCTGGCCACATATGACTTAAAGTTTTTCTGGACCCAGGTTTTCAAACTAGAGTGATTAATAGGGCACGATTCCAAAATCCTCAACCCCTGAAGGACGCCGAAAATTAGAACAGTTGCAGAAGCTCTACATCTCCGGGCCGCCATCCGAAACTCGACGCCCTCCAAATATAAGGTTCTCAAGCAATGATCTCTCAGCAGAGGCGTCGACCGCAGGTCACGGTCGTAGAAAGCCGGATGCGTAGGCCTCAGTTGTGAAGGTTGGTTTTACGTGTTCGGGCTCTTAGGGCCCTCGAGAATGGTTTGCAATTCTAATTTTTGATTGCATGTTGGAGATCGTGTTGCGATGTTGGCTCGGGATGCTGGGTGTTCAACATCGACAAGCATACGACTCGTCTCAAGAAGAGCAGCAGTAAAGTTTAAACATAAAAAGATCAAAGAGGACCTCTCTCCCTGTGTGCGCCTGTCCCTGCCCTTTCTTCGACGCCTCGCTGGCTTCCCCTTTGCACGGCCCGTAATCGGCTATCCTTTGGTGGCCAAGGCTCTGCGTCACCAAGACCATGCGCTGCCATTGGCGAAGGCACTTCAAATGCACGTACTTCCTGAACTTGGCATGGAGAAGGAAGGGTGCTGCCTGCTAGATGACCGTCATGATGATACGGGTGATGATGAGAATGTCATAGCTGATGATGAAGATGATGATGATGATGATGATGATGATGATGATGATGATGTTGACGAGGCTGTCTGACCAGGATGGCGACAGCGACTACCATTACCACGACAACAAAACGCCCATTCGCATGAGCTAGCCACAATAACATGCCTGACTCCTCAAAGCTCTGAACCGCTTTTTCCGGAACCACTACACCCCCCAAATCCTCCAGAACAGTGTCTCGTCCCTGGCCAGGCGTCTGCCCTCCCGAACACTTGCAAGGCGAGATAAGCTCGCCATCCTCTTCGCCTTCATCGGGCTTCAGGGTTTCAAGTTCCTTAGATAGGTAGGCGTTTAACAAGTTTGATTTCGATACGCGCGAAGTCCACTGCCAGAAGCCGTGAAGTCCCGAAATACTCCCCGCCCCACCCACACACGCAAACGTAGGACAGAACTGCCATACTCCCAGCCCAAAAACTTGAACCTTCTTCGAGCTCAGAATGTCATGGTCCGCTTAGAAGGACTTCCGGAGGGAAGTTCAAGAAGTAGCTGTGAGGTTTCAGGACTTTAGGGTTGTAGGATGTCAACTTCAGGGACACTGACGGGCTCAACGAGGCTTTGGCAGCATTCGGGCTCAGGGACTTGGGAGGTCCAGTTACGCCGGCTAGGGTTCCGGAATCGGCTTGCCACAACACACAGAAAAACACACAACAAAAGATGATCCTGCAACTGCATGATAACTGAATCAACGAATTTCGGGCTTCGGGGCTAAGGGAAATGACGCATACCCCAAATCCCAAAGTTCGACTGAGGTCCTTCGAGACTTCCAAATCACGTCACTGCACTCTGACGTGCAAGGTTGCACAGACGCGGCTCTGAAGCCTCAAACACTTGACGCTCCAAAGAAAACAGCAGTTAATGCAAACCCTGCGAAAAAGAATCTTGCTTGAGAAGAACCCTTACATGGAACCCAACCCCTCAATGTCGGTTTCCTCAAGGTTACATGATGCCAGTCGCATTTCTGAAAAGCGCACCTGCAAAACAGTATCGACAAATAATCTCTTCCTCATCCTGGCAACAAGGGCAAGGGCCCCGGGCTTGTGCATTCAGGTTGCCCTCTCTGTTGTGGTCCACACAAACAGCGCTCGTCGATCATATGACATGACCGAAGCCTACATACCTGGCTGTCTGTGTGTATATATACATATAGAGAGAGATGCACCCATTAGAAAGACAGAAAGACACACACACACACACGACATACGCATTCATAAATGTGTACATACACACACATACATTTGCAGGTCCAGGTTCCGCACAGATTTGGCTCGGAACCTCAAAGACCCGAAGCCTCAAACTATCCAGTTTCTTGTGCCCAGAAACGGTCACCAGACCTTACGCATCTGCAGGCAGAGTAGCACCTATCTTTAAGCTGCGCTCTGGTACTCTTGCTCTAGGAGCCGAGGGTTGTGAAGGGAAAAACCGAATTGTGGGACGCGCTTTTGGGTTTAGGGTTTGGCCTTGGTTCGGTTGTTAGGGCTAGGGCTTCCATCTTGTCTATCTTGTAAGCCTTCTGGGCCCCAGGTCCCAGTCCCAGCAAATAATGTGGTCATGGTGAAAATCATTTTTCGGGCTCCACATGCTCAGGACACTGTTACTTTTTGAGGTTCCATGTCAGGGTCCAGACGTCAAACACGAAGCGATCAGTGCCTGGTTTAGCCCCATTCCTAGACCTTAGCACCCTCCCCGAACTGAATCTGAAAACTCAAAAACAGCGCATTGACTCCTCGACGGCCATGACAGTGTTCGAGAGCGTTCCAGCGGCACTACCGTGCACTGGAACAAACAACGTGCCTATGCAGGCCTCTGGGATCTGCAAAAGTGGGATTTGGTCTTTGGGGCTCTGATGCCATGCCAGGACTCAGGGCTGTGGCTGTCGATACTTATGTTTGCACCTGGTCACCGGGCTTGCTCACTGCGGTCTATAAGGCTTACGTCTTATCGAAGATTCCTTCTCTGACTCTTCACTGAAACGATGCGTCAGGCTGCTGTCGGCAGGA